CGTAACAGGTCGTGGAGGCTCATAGGATTATGAGACGCCGAGGCTCCCCACATTTTCTAGACAATCGACTCATAGATGGCGGTGAGGTTGTGAGCCTTAAGCGACGGCCGCCCTTTACCCCGCAGGAAGATTCCTGGTACTCATTTCTTTTAGAGGCTGAGTCGACCCCAGGGCCATATTACAGCTGGAAGGCATTGAGGAATTTTATCGCCTTATCGTGAATCGAACCCGCAACCTTCCGGGGGATAGAAAAATCACGATATTAAAGATAATTCAGCTGAATGTCGTAATTTAAAAATTTAAAAGGGAACAGACAAATGTCTCCGTTAGAAATCGTTGTCTTCTCTAGTCTAAATGTACCGAAACTAACTGTTTTTCGTGGTGGTATCATTTGCTTTAGCCGATCAAGGCATGAACCCCTTTCGCCTGCTCGAACACTCGATCGTGGGTTCGAATCCCACTCGAGGCATGTATGTTTGTTGCTTTTATTCTGTATTTGTGTTGCTGTGTGGGTAGGTAGCGGCCTTGCGATGGGCTGATCCCCCAAGCAAGGAGTCCTACCATGTATAGAACAAGAAACTGAAAAAGCGGCTAAGGTCGACAAGAGCTATAGGGCCATAGATACTATAGATAACTTACTTTTGCATTGTACATAGGAATCTTTCCCTGTCATGAGGTTGATGAGGATGTTGAAGGAAGTGAATGTTTGGTTTCATCAAAAGTAGACATATTCAAGTTTAGCCCACTGTGAGAGATAAATGTACTTCATGTGAATATAGAAAAATGACAAACTACGTACCGGATCCAAAACCGTGCACTGTGAGCGGGTGTGCAACAGAACGTATTCTTTACCAAGTTACAGACCTTCCCAGCTGCTTGTGTGAGTTCATCTTCAGGCTGAATGTACATAAGAAGAAATCCGACACCGAGAGAAGGGGGTGTGTTGTCTTTCTTACAAGTGGATCGCTTCAAATTTAGCCGAGTTTAAGAAACTCTCTTCCGGTCTATTCTGGTAGCGAGACACTGCACTTGATTCTGAGATGTGTTGGTGTGATGTGACAACTTGACTCTGTGCTGAATGTAAAATTCCAAGCATAATTACTACTGTGGGAACCAAGGAAGTGACGTCAGTCGTTCATGTATGTATATCAATATATCACGCCATATATAGATTACATTTATGTTAGAAAGTTAAAAAAGAACCAGTATTTTCTTTTAATGACATTGGAATCAGGACATCTTTTTAGATCAATATTTAGTCGAATATTTGCAACGGAATACGAATTTCTTGTTAATTTAAATTGATTAAAAACAATATATACAATTTTATTTATTACTTTTGCTCTCCGCCAATATAATTATTTGTATAGATACAGAGTACAATGTAGTTTTAATAAATGTTTAGGCCTTTCGGTCATCATCAGGTATTAGTGCAATTTACATTAGCTTTCAGAAAATCTGCTGTTAATCCCTACACTAGATAATGTTTCTGTTTGGGAATATTTTCTAGTTGTTTTATACCTAGGTAATGTTCCGTGTCGCCTCACACACAACACGAATCTGCAAGACAACACTTCAAATACTACATGCAGTATAAAAATTTGTTCTGTTTTCCAAACGCTGGCACCGTGGCAACATGGGCCGAATCGACACTCTTTAAAATTTTTTGAAATTCCAAGATGAAAATTAGAGTCCAGATCGCTTCAGGAATTTGAACGAAATTTGCGGCGTCATTGAGCTGTAACACTTGACAAATGGCACTTTATGGAAGAGACTTCTTCTTGAAAAGCTTACAGTCGTTTACCGATTCAAGAGGTTCTTCGCATTTAATGCAAAATGGAATTTCCTCGCAGTGTTCTCAACGACCCGCCACATGTGCCCAAAATGAGCAAGATGAATCCAGTCAACAGTTTCCAAATGTATTCCTTTAAGATATATTTTTTTAAATTATACTCCCATTAATAATAGCGACTGGCTACGCGCTGGACTACCAACAGGGTCGGAGTTCGAGTCCCGGTATGGTCAAGAATTTTCTGTTGTCCACGTTGTCCAGACCGATTCTGGGGTCACCCAACCTCCTATCAAATGGGTACCGGGGTCTCTTTCCCCGGGGAGAAAGCGACCAGGGCGTGAAGCTGACCACTTAACTCCAACTAGTGCCGAGGTCAAGAAAATGTGGATCTATACATCCACTCCCCCATACGTCTTCATTGTGTAGTGCTTAATTAGTTTAGCACAGGAACAACTTTACCTCTATATCTTCCAAAACGTAGATTCTAAAGGGTTCTGACGATGGTGTACTGTATAACACTTGGTTTGCTTTTTTCTTTTTACTATGTCCATCGTCAGGTATTTTCGGAAATTTTCGGAAATAGATTCGGTTTCCCAAACATTCATTTCTTTCGGATCCTTTAGAATATCTGACGATGTGCAAAGTGCAGGAACCAACTAGTCCCGACTTCAAAAAGGTATCTTCCAGTCAGAATTTCCGACCAGAATTTTGTATCCAGTTTTGATTACTCCCATGGATGTTACGTGCCATTTTCATCTTTTCCTCCTTGCTTTGCTCGCTCTAATATTTGTTGAAAAGTATGAATTGTATCCCTCATCCTTTGCTTCCTCTCGCTTAGGCTCAAATATTCTCCTCAGCTCCCGAAATCCATGTTCTTTCCATACAAAAATAAAAACATAAAAAATAAGGAAATATACCAAATCCAACTATCCATCTATGGTTCTACAGTCCTTGTGGATCTTGGCCGATTTTCTCAGTCGCTAGGTCTCCTTGGAAGGGGGATCAGCCCGTCGCAAGGCCGCTACCTACATACAGGAGAACATAAACATAAAATAAACACACACAGGGAATCATGCTTCGAGTGGGATTCGAACATAAGATTCCAGCGTTCGAGTAGGTCTCATACTTTAGTCCGCGCGGCCTCTGTGATCGGCATACAATGTACACCAACCAATCGCGGGTCATCTATGTTCGAATATAAAGCCACAAATCAAGGACGATTATTAAAAACGTACCAACATAGCTTGAACATAATTTTGTTAGTCATTTTTCTTTCTAAAATGGATCTTAGAGAGATAGAGGATGAGTTGATATGTACTGTGTTGGTCTGGCTCAGGCTAAGGACCAGTAGAGGGCTTCTGTGGACTTGATGTTTAACCTTCGGTTTCCATAAAATGTAGGGAAATTTGTGAGTGGCTGAGTGACTCGTAGTTTCTCAAGAAGAATTCGGTTCCATGAACTTAGTTACGTATTTAGTTAGTTAAGTTTTCAGTAATCGCGGAGTCGCGCTTCCTTCAGATTAATATTTGCAAAAGCGATCGAAAGGATCGGCACGGAATTGCAGACTGGCTGGCACCGTCAGCATGGTTCCTGGGGAAAGTTTCTTACGCCGACCGAGTAGGAACAATGGGTATGTGGGGATACTTTGAGTGCAGTAGCACGCAGTAACGAAGGGAAACGAGAACTTCCGTTCCCGGATTTCGTGGTTGCCTGATTTCTGACATCGCTCGTGAGCTACAAGTGTTTTCGTGTCTCTTTCATGGAATATTTCACGAACCTGACAGCGTCTAGACTATGTTGCGTCGAATGAATTGGAAAGGATCTGGAAGGAAACAGTCATGGTTAACAGAAATACCATTTCGTTGTTCTGTTTTCATTAGGATTTGTTAATGACGAGATATCTAAATTGAAATTAATGAAGATATATTATAATATGATTTAATTAGTTTCTCTGCGATAAGGGAAACAACATTTCAAGCTACTAAAGACTTTTGATATGAACGTACACACACACACACACACACATATATATATATATATATATAAGCATGAAAAGCATGTTTGTTAGCATTTATGAATATTTCAATGTATTTGTATGTATGCCGGTCACGGTAGCCGAGCGGTCTAAGGCATGCACTGTCTTCGCTCGCTTGGAAACCGGGATCGTGGGTTCGAATCCTACTCAGGGCATGGATGTTTGTGTGCGTTTTTCTGTGTTTGTGTACAGGTAGAGGCCTTGCGACGAGCTGATCACCCGCCCAAGGAGTCCTACCGTATGTGTAAGATCTAGAAAAACCGAAGTGAACGGAGTTCATGGAGGTAGGCCTAGGCCCACTGGGGCTGTAGTGCCAAGGAAAAATAAATTGTATGTATGTATGCTTCTAACACATATCTTAGTGACAGGGAGTTCCACTTTCAGCAGAACACGGCAATTTGAAAGCAAATAATTTCCTAAGCCAGAAATATTATGTTAATTAATAATCATTATCATCACTCATTGAGCTGAGCCCTGCTTGAGAAGCCGCCAGTTGTGCAGCTACTCAAAAAATTCCCAGAATTTTATAGAACAAGAAGGTTCATTACCGTGTTCACAAGAGCCCTCCACTGGTCTCTATCCTGAGCCAGATAAGTCCAGTCCATACGACCCCATCCTATCTCTCTAAGATCCATTTGACTACTGTCTTTGGTCTTCCCAGTGGCCTCCTTCCTTCTGGCAATTAAGAAGAATGTGATTGGAAGGACATTTAGAAAGGATGAGAGAGATAAGAAATGCGCAAACAATTTTAGTCACAAAAACCTCGATTTAAAGTAGCTAGAGTTGTATATAAGTGCAATACTAAAACGGTTAGGGAGTGAGGAGGGGCCACGCGGTAGCGTTGTTGGTTGAGAAACTATGCTACAAGCCGGAACGTAGTTGGGTTCGATTCCCGCTGAGGTAACTGTTTTTTTCAATTGACCTAATCCTTCCAGCCGCACTATGGCCCTGGGGACGACTCAGCCTCTAACAGGAATGAGTACCAGGAATCTTCCTTGGAGGTAAAGGGCGACGGCGCGTAAGGCTGACAACCTCACCTCCTTGTGNTCTAACAGAAATGAGCACCAGGAATCTTCCTGCGGGTAAAGGGCGACGGCGCGTAAGGCTGACAACCTCACCTCCTTGTGTGAGCCAACTGTCTAGGAAATGTGGCAACCTCGAGGTCTCACAGCCCTATGGGCCTCCACGGCCTGTTACAGGGGACAGCTTTGCCTCTTTACCTTATACAGGGTGTGAGGGTGTCGAGTTGGTTCATCTGGTTCAGTATAGGGCCCAGTTGCATAATTTTGGAACATATATTAATGCATCTTAGGGTTCCTAAGAGACACGAAATTCTTGGCTACTTGAGCCCCTGTTAGCTTCCCGTTAAGGGCTCTGTTACATTGAATTAGTTACTGCATATCCATAGTTCAAAACCCAGCTGCTGGAAATCCAAGAAATAACACGGTCTGAGAATTCACAGGGTTTGAGGTAATCATGGCGACTGAAGACTGCTACTCATGGGTTGTCACACCGTGCAGTTTTGTAGCAGTCTGTCGACTTTTAGAGTATCTTATTTCCTCCTTCTTCATGGCCGACAAGTAAGCCAAGCAGGCTCCCAGCGAGAAACAAGCAGCGTGCAAAGAGCCCACCCTCGTCTGGTACAAGTTTACCGACGTTTAGAAGGAACGTACTGCCTCCATCTTCAGAGGGGAAGAATAAAACAAGCAACAACGACGAAGTAAGCAGCGAATATAGCGCTTGCTCTGATCTGTTAGTTAACCGACGTTTCGGAGGAAGGTACTGCATCAATTTTGGGGGTCGAAGAGTAAGTCAAGGAAGTAATCATCTTGGATCAAACAGCAAATAGAGCGCTCGGTCTGGGCTGTAGTTTACAGGTGTTTCAGAGGAACCATGGGCTCCACATTCGGGGTAGAAATGTAAACAATCTTTATGACGCAAGTTGCAAGTAGAGCGTTCGCTTCGGTCTGTTAGATGTTTGCCGAAAGGTCGGTAACCTTCTGCCAGACTACACGGCGGCGATGCATACAGAACGTTCTTATTACTGTTTGAATGAAATAAGGGGATTCGCTCTAAATCTGAAGGGTATCATCTGGGCAACGTGACGCGAAGACCGTGCAATTCAAATTTTCCGGTTAGCTGCCCGGAAAGATTAAGCCAGCCCAGAAAAAAACGACTGTACGCATTATACAATCATTCAGCTCGTAGTAGTAAACTGTAATCCAGATGTGAAGGCAAGCTGCATAATCAGTCCACTCATGTAATCAGTATAGAAGCAAACATGCGTCATCCGCCTGTAGCAGAGCGACTAGGCTCCACGCGTTACAATAATGTCGGAGAAGTTGCCGACTGAGAACGGGGAACTCTTCTAAATGATGACGCCTGGAGAAATTCGGACCTAATACAGCTTAGATTTGGTGTGGGTCAGGCATACGACCGTTCAAGTGACTAGAGACTGCCGCTATAGCGAAAACTACTGAAGATAGGGCATAATCTGCTGTACTGAACCTGGACTGACAGAGACCTTGTATATATTGTACATAGGATTAGTTCATGAATTAGTTTATTAGTTTATGAATATTTTGAACCCCTATCCCGTATAAATTTCTTCTAGATGAAAAAAGGTAAAATTGTCCCTGTCCCGGCACTACATTGAGGTGAGCTGTCAGGCAACAACTGCGTAGGACAGCGATTTCAGGTCTGGTCTGGACGCGGCGCCGAAGAGAATAAGATCCCTGTCCTTGCGTTGCCGGGTATATGACCTTGGTCGCCGAACCCCAAAATGTCAATAACGTCGATGAGGTTTGAATAACACCACGAAAAATGAGACAGGAAATCCAGATTACGCGGACAGAATTCGAACCCATCAACAGGGAACACGAAGTGATATCGAATAAAAAAAAAAGTAGAAAAGCAAAAAATAGGAGCTGACTGATTAAAGCCATGGTACCGAAAGTCCTTGAAATGCTGATAGTTTCCTAGCCGATTTTGAGACTTCTTCATTTTATGTAAATGTTTACACCATATTAATTTAAGAGGCGTCTTATATTAGCGTCACTTCTATGCCCATCTGTCACACGTGGTTTCTTCCGTTGAGATCTTCGGTCAAAAACATTGTTAACAATGGCTTAGTTGATATAGCGACTGTCTAAATAAGTAACTGGTCCAGTGATCGAGGCTAGCTCTTTCTAAGACCCAACAGAGTAGGTGTCTTCCCTCACCTGAGGACGGAAACAGATCCAGTTTCAGAAACATTGTGTTTTTTCTTAGATATTTAGAATCCGGATGATGGACAAAGTCGGAAAACCCAGTATCTCTGTGTGTTATACACCATCGTCAGAACGCTATAGTAACTACTGGCAAATTCTTTATTTTTAAATAGATTTTATGATATTATCGTGTCTATTTAGATATTTCCCAGAGGCACTAATAAATTTAACTGTCTATAAGATCCGGTTTAAAATAATATTGGTACAGACACGAAATGCCATTTAGCAATTCCTTTCGACAAATCATCTAAATAATTTCGCGAACCACAATTCGCGAATCAATGGTCTCTCTGATCGGTGTTGGGTACCCCTCCCTAGGACGTATGCAGTTGGCTGCACATGTTGGAACTATAATTGTGATCGCAATTAGAGAGGGCCCGCGCCGTGTCGTGCTTTCCCCAGTTCCAGGCAGCTGACCACACGACAGGAGCACCTGTCTGCTCGCTCACTCGCCATCAAACCCGCGGCGCGCCAGGCAACATGCGCTGACCAGCAATGCAGCCTCCGGGGACTCCAGTCCGATCCCGCCAACAACTCTCCTTGGACGACTTCGACTACGGATACTTCGACTATGATCGGCCACGGCGCCAGAGACAAGATGAAACTAGCACCGGACGTGCGACGCCGAACGCCTTCACAGTTCTGCCGCCACTACCGCCGCCAACACCGAGTCCACCACCGGCGCCCACACCCTACAAGTTCACCTCGCCCACGCGTCGTCAGAAAAAAGCATCGTTTGTAATTCTCAATGATCAGGAGCCTCAGTTGCCCGGATCCGCGAGGTCTATCCGCGTTCCATTGCCCGGCGAAAGCAAGAATCTCCTTCCTCAAGGGAAGTCCCGGATACCGCGGTCACAACCAGTGTCACGTGACCCCTCTCCTTCCAGCAAGCGTCTTATAACACAGAAGCGACGTGCGTCCGTGTCACATGTCAAGAGTAACTTGCCGCCAAAAAGCAAACCAGCCTCCCCCAAGACTGTAAGGAAGACAAGCGTGAAAAGGCAGCGGGATGACTCGATAACGAAACATCCAGCGGCGGGGGAGAAAGATGCGCATCCATCACCCTCGCGCATCCCCCGGCCGCCTGCAGCGAGGGGGCGCAAATCGCCTGCGCCTTCCCGCGAACCATCGCCGGCTAGAAAGAACAGCAAAGTAGCTCCCCAGAAGAAAAGCCCGTCCCCGACTGTTAACAAGCAACAACCCATCTTACGCAAGAACAGCAACTTGAAGCCGTTGGCAGGGAAGCCACCGCTTCCACCAGGCAGCAAAGGAAAGCCAACAGGGGCTGAAGTGAGGAAACTCAGCTCGAAACCCGCGGCAAATAAGAGTAAAACCGACGCGTCATCCTCTTCAGGGCCGGCCAAGACAGAATCCACATCTGCCACAGAGAACATGATGACAGCCACAGATTCTTCTTCGAAACCAGATTCCGAAGTCCCGAATAACAATGCCAAGTCTGAAGTGGAGCCCTCCAAGGGCTCTGCAGATTCAGAAACGTCCCTGGAAAAACGTGTCGGCGTAAATCTGACTATGGCTTCAGCTCCAGCCGCGTCCGTCGCCCCGGCCGTGACCAGTCCGGGCGAACAAGCCACTACAAGCACCACAACCGCCACTCCCGATACTTCCAGCACGCTTGTGTCCAGCACTACAGCCCCATCACTCGAGCTGGCCAAACCCTCGAGCGAACCAGAGACTGCGGCGCCAACAAAGTCTTCCAGTGCAGGTAGCAGCACGTCGGCAGCGTCTGACAAACCCTCTGCAGCTGTCGCGGTGTCCATGGAGTCCGTGAGGTCCGCGGACTCGGTGGCCACCGTGAGGGCAGCGAGTTCTCCGCATCCCAAGAAGAAAGCCACCGCGGACGATGTGGCGATCAGTGAGGCTGTCATTAAGGGTGACCCCGACCTGGAGTCGCTCAGCCCCAACACACAGCAGCTCCAGCCGCAAGACTCCGTTCCAGGGTGAGTACTGCAAGCAAAACTCGACCATACAAGTCCAAGGGGAGTAGAATACAGCGTGAATTGTTTGCGCGAAGTTATCATACGAAGGCGATAAACATATTCAATGGTCAATATAATGAGCTCCTGGGTGCTACAGTATGTGGTACGTATAATTACCACTGTTACATAACAAAGTTCGGGTCTTCATGCGTCTAAGAGGTGTAAATACATAGACCGTTAGTAGAAAATTTATAATCTTCACAACTTAAGATATCAACATTTTCTCCTGTAGGTAGAAGAATTTCGGATTTGTTTCAGAACACGTTAGGATATTAAAATTACTGTATTCTGGCATGAGACGCCGTGTAATTTGGTATGAAACTACCCGCATCTTTAGAGCATTTTCTACCACTGAAGATGGAAACATCAGATTCCTCTGAAACTTTGGTACCTATCCATCAGATTACACGCCAGTATCTTCACATCACAGCAGTGAGAAGGCTCACGAGTTAGGACATGTGAGCATGACGTAACAGTCCTAGCACGGCAGTTCAGTTCTGGTTTCCATTATCTCGAAAAGTGCAAGAATTAGACACAAGTTTATTTTTTCCTGGGGAGTAAAGCGCGGCCGGCGCGTAAGGCTGACAATCTTACTGCCATCTTTGAACCGATCGTCTAGATAATGTGGGACCCTCAGCGTCTCACATCTCTATGGAGCTTCACGGCCTGGTACAGGGATAGCTTTACTTTTTTTTTTACTTTACTCGTAAAATGTGTCTTATTTCTCTCTACATCCGCTCTGCCGCACATCTGCATGGCAGGGTACTTAATTACTTATGGCAGGGGAAAATTTACCTTATTTAATTTTCCTTTTAACACTTCTCAGTGAGATATTACGGTTCAGTTCTGCGCAGAAAAGCACACTGGTCTTCATGTAAAATGTATTACTCTCCTTAACCAAAACTGGGAAGTGTTCACAAGTTTTAATGAAACTCCCCCCATGTCGTATTTAATTAAAATCCATTCAGTAACGGTTGTCTTTATTTATGCGAACAGATTAAAAGACGCCATAATGAAAATTTTAGGCTCCCTTTTTTTTCTGTTCTTTTTTTTCAATGTTTTCGTTGCGAATATTGTGACATTCCAAAGCCTTCTATATGAGATTTATTTAACGGTGCACAGTTGTAGTCTGTCTCCAGTATCTAGCTCTATTTTCATCATGTGCAAAATATCGTAATTTTCTAAATCATCACTACAATCACATGTCTGAATTCTTTCTTATATTTCAGGGACCAAATTGACAGGCATATTGCAACGGGTAAGGTCGATAATTTGGTCTCTTATATATAATTTTTTTCCATATTTAACTTTCATACATCGAAAGAAGCTCTGATATTTACAAAAAAAAAAAACTTTAAATATCTGTGTAGACTTCCTTGTTACAATTTTATAGCCTGAAACTTCATGGCATGATATATAACAAATTACTTTTATTTGGCGTTTTAATAGAACTGGGCACAGTTTGAATAAATACAGAAGAATAAGTTGTTCTAAACCATACTCACAGAGGTCTGATTTCGAATAGAAGCGCATTAAATTGAAACAAGACGCATTAGAAGAAACTATGGCAGGTACTTCCCTTGAAATCGTTCATTCTGTGTGATGCAGCTGGCGATAACAGTAAGTGAATATATAAACAATGCAATGATCTATTTCTGTACCTAATATCCACTAATTTAGATTTCGACTACGCCAAGTTCGCCACACAGAACCTCACAATAGCGCATCTTCTCCATATATGTAGCCGCTGACATGTAAAAAAGGTAAAGCTATCCTGTAATAGACCGTGAAGTTCCATAGGGGTGCGAGAGGTCGAGGCTCCCACATCTTCTAGACAGTCGGCTCATAGATGGCGGTAAATTTTTCAGGCTTATGCGCCGGCCGCTCTTTACCGCCCCAGAAAAATTCCTGGTACTCATTTTTGTTAGAGGCTGAGTCGACACCAGGGCTATAGTGCGGCTGGAAGGATTAGGTAAACTGAAAAATTCAATCACCTCGTCGGAAATCGAACCCGAGACCTTCCGACTTGTAGCCTCAACCAACTACGCTACCGCGTGACCCGTATTACTCCAGTGGTTCATTAATTATCGCCTTTACACCGAAAGTGAAATATAAGAATTCGCACGACTGCCATGTCGCGTTATATTCTACTAACAAATTACCATAGCAAAAGCTGCATATGTTAAAGTTTCATTACCATAAAAGAATATCAGGGCCCTGCATTAACTTGTTTTACTATCACTGTCACCTAGGAAGTTCATACTATAAACCCGGCCATCAATCATAACTCCTTGCAGCTAACAAAATAGCTATATACTGTAACTAAGTAATTGTTAATAACGGACACTAGGTGGCAGAGTCGCTGCCGCAAAGCACTTCCGGCCTCAAGTTTCATTATGTCGACTCTACCTCGTATATAATGAGTATACATTTCGCATTCAGAAGTCATCCGTTGAAATATCGGCGGGGAGAGGGGATATATACCATGACGGAGACTTCTCCTTCAAGAAAATGGCGGCGCATTAAATAACAGGCTTCGTTGCTTCCCTAACTTTGTTTCCAGCTCAACAATTGATAGCAATATTTCCATTTAACATTTGACGCTATAACATTTCTGCAATTAATATATTCATACAAAGGTAATTACAAGCCAAGTTCACGGTAAATGACCTTTTATGGACAGCTGATGATTAATCATATCATCAAGTAAATTTAATTACGTTAAACATACAGAAAATTCATTACCGTGACAACAAAAGCGCTCCTAGTCTCACCCACGTCACGTCTTTTGAAGATGCCTCTGTAAATATCTGTCCTCTATCTTGGTCTTCAGTTAGTCAGCCAGTCAGACAGTCAGTCAGTCAGTATGTCTGTGGAAAAGAAAAGACGCACCGTCCGCGGTAATTACTGTTGGGCTGTCAGGCAGAGACAACGAACCTTTTGCTTTGCTCTAATTACTGGCCAAACTACAAACCCGTATCAAGAAAACATGTCACAATATATTTCATAATTGTACAATAATAAACTTTCTCCAGGGGCAATTGGCCACATTTTTGGGTCATGTTCTTTTTGTGGGGGATAGAGTAGACTATAGATGGACAATTATATTTAAATAGAATAGAACAGAGTCGATTTTACAGTGCAAGAATAAGCATCAAGTAATACAGGGGTTGATTTTATGCTACCCGAAGGTTTATTGTCACGTCCACAAAAGCCCGCCATTGTTACTATCCTGAGCCAGATGAATCCAATCCACACCCTCATATCTTATTTATGTTTGAGCCATGTTGTTATACCTGTACATTACTGCAGTGTCTGAGAAATTTAAGAATACACTGATCACTAAACTAACTTCATGGAGCTGAGCCCCTCTTGAGAAGACGCCACTTCCCAGAATTTTATGTAATCCGAAGGTTCATTACCTTGTTCACAACAGCCCTCAACTGGTCCCTATCTTGAGACGGATCGACCAGGCCATACCACCCCAATCTATATCTCTAAAATCCATTTTAATATTGTCTCCTGCTCTTCTAGTGTTCTATTTCTTTCTGGTTTTCAAATCAATATCCTACATGCATTCCTATTCTCACTCATTCGTGCTACATGTCCTGCCAATTTTATTTTCCTTGGCTGGATCTTTCTAATTATATTTGGCGAAGAGTAAAAGTTATGAGGCCCCTCCTTAAAGAAAATATTGATATGAGTTAAAAGTAATGTTACAGCAATAACTCCGAAGGCCAGGGAGAAATGTCACGTGCCAGATGTGGTCCACATGCCCTCAGTTTTCACCCTTACGGTAGACAGACAATATTAGTGTCGCTTCTTCCACTACAGGGGTAACGGTTATATTGCCATGGCTATGGCGTTCTAAGACTAGAGAAGACATTTTCTAAACTGCAGCTATGAAGGTGATAAGACTATGGCTCATTTGTGGAGACGCTGTGATCACGGGAACGCGAGGTTAACGACAAGCGACAGTCTTTAAGATCCCGCCGCTCACGCAACCCATCTTTCAGACAGGGCTTTAGAAAGTCTCTAGGTAAAGGCTCAGACAGCAAGAGAGAAGGAATGTACGCTTAATACTGTTTTACAGAGCCGGAGTTTCAATTTCCGGAGAGACAAAAGCTTTCCTCTTCTACGCAGCTTCCACATGGCCCACGCAGCCTCTTATACTATTTATACCGGGAGTTATTTCACGGGGGTAAAGCGGCAGGGGCGTGAAGCTAGCCACGAACTTCCATATAATCCCGAGTAAAGAATTGTACAGCCGTAACGCAACTGCACCCGTAAGTCTAAGTGCTGTGGTACTGGGAGCAAGAACGGGGACAGATTTAAGTTTTTCAAATTATTCGAATTAGAATTTTTAAATTTTGTACACCAAATCTGCTGAATCTAAGTATCATCTTCCAATTTGGCACCTCGATGGATCAACGAATTCTGGGGTTATTACTACATTATCGTAGAACTGGAATTTTCAAAATTTCTATCTTCTTCTACAAGTTTTAGTGTTCTTCAACCAAAGTTTGATTTTGCACTCGCGAAATTATCGTGAATGAAAATCAGTATGGATTTCCGCATTAATTTATTCTTAATAAAATATTTATTCTATTCAGGCATAAAAACTAAAAAAGTTCCTTCATGCCCACACAAAATAATTTTTTAAAACTTAATACACAAGGAGGATGAAGTGGGCAGGGAATATAGAACGAATGGGTGAGAAGAGGAATGCATATAGGATATTGGTGGGAGAAGTCAGAAGGAAAGAGACTACTCGGAAGACCAAGGCGTAGGTGGGTGAACAATATTAGAATGGATCTTAGAGAGATAGGATGGTATGGATTCGATTGATCTGGCTCAGAATATTGGCCAGTGGAGGGCTCTTGTGAATACGGCAAAGAACCTTCGGGTTCCATAAAATGCTGGGAAGTTCTTCAGTAGCTGCACAATTGGCGGCATCTTAA